TATCGGAGATATCAACCGTGACCTTGCCTTTCGTGATCTTGCCTACGTTGGCGCTCAGCTTCTTAGCGGCCTTGGGGGTCTGCTTCACCGAGGCCGCGGCCTTCGCCACGCCTGGTTTGCCCGAGGCGCCCGCGGCCGCGGCGCCGACCGTGCCTCGGCCGCGGCCGCGGCCGCGTCCACCCCCACGCCCGCGGCCAGCCGTGGGCGCCGCATCCTTCGGGGCGAGGTGGCTCCCAACTGCCTTCGCTGCCTGAGCCATGGCATGCACCAGCCCTGGCGCAGCCTGCTGGCCGCCCCCCGCAGAGGCGTCGGGGAGAGGCGCGGGTGGAGCCTCAGGCGGCATCGGGGCGGCCTGGCATGCGACGATTGTTGTTGCCCCAGCGATTGGCATTGGTGAGGCTGCCTCCGAGGTGGTCACAGGAGCGCTCGTCTGCTGGCTGCCCTGGGAGTCGACGAGCGACGCAGGCGAGGTGTCGCGCCCAAGCGGGAGCGTGTCAGCGCTGAGGGTGCCAGGGCTACTATCCCTCCTGCGCGCTGCCCCCTTCGGCGCCGCCGTGTTCAGCATAGTCAGGTTCGCCTCGTTAAGCGTGTGCGTGTGTGTGTTACCGCCCTGCATCGACTGGAACATCCTCCCGAACTGCATGAATGCATTCATCATGCCCTCCACGTCCATGCCGTGCTGGGGCGCCGAACCCCCGAAGGGCGCCGAACCCCTGCTCACGCGGGAAAGGGCGGGAACGATCTGGCCTTCAGCGTGGCCGACGGCATGGCACCTCCTGAGGGAATTGTGAGAGTCACGGTACCCGAGGTTCTCGTCGTGCATGTCAAGGAGCTGCTTGGTGATCTCGGCGGGGGGCTCCACTGCGGGCCCGTTAACGTACGCGAAGTCGAGCACGGCTTGCGGCAGGCCCGCTGGAGTAGCAGGGTAACATTTCTGGTGGTCGAAGGGCCACCTCGTCGAGCTGTCCAACCCCTTGACAAGGGAGCGGATCGTGCCCATGTGGCCCCTCATCTCGTTGGCGCTCATCGTCGTGCCTGCGGGGACGCCGACGATCAAGATGATCCCGAATGCGCGCTTGAGCAAGCCGTTGCCTGGGCACACAAGCCCGACGCGGTACAGCCTCTGAGCAATCACCTGCAGCTTGGGCGGCACAGTGATGTCGGGGTTCTGGATGACGTCCCAGTCGTTGGCGGTGAGGAACATGTGAATGTGATCGCACTTCTGCTGAACACGCACAACTCCGCTGTTCCTGCCAACTTTGTTCGTCTCGATGGCGTTGGCGAGGGCAGACGCCAACATCACCTTCTGATCCTCGGTCCACGGACCCGCGGCGACCTCCTGGGACACTTCTGTGGCCACCTCCACAGAGACGTTCGCGGTGGCCTTCACGGCTACCTGCAGGGCGTGCGCTTGGTCTTGCAGCAAGCTCGCCTTGGGGATCCCAGCGGCCACTTGGGCGTTGATGAAGGTCACCCGTTGGCGCACCATCTGCACGAGGGCTGCGGCCACCGACGGCGACGCCATCGGGTCGCAAGAGCACGAGTCTGGGGCGAAGCAAGCCAAACGACGAGACCTTGGCAGCCAAAAACGGCTACGGGTGATGGTGGTGATGATTTGATGGCGAGGATGCTAGCGCGCCTTGCTGTTGCTTGTGGATGCAATGAGTCTCGGTAAGGATGCAAGCCCCTTGGGCGCCCAAGTCGAAGCTGTAATGACGCATGGTTCATGGCACATATGCTTGGTAAGGGTGGAAGCCCATGGGGGCGATACATGTTTGTTAACGGGCGTCCTTAGGGTATGTGAAGAGGCCCAACGCCAACCGTCATTATCTTAAACATAATGACCCTCATCATCCACCTCCTCCGCCTCCTCCTCCTCCTCGTACTCCCCCTTCTCATGCTCCCCCTCCTCCTCCCCCTCCTCCTCATCATCCTCCTCCGCCTCATCCTCCGCCTCCTCCTCCTCATCATCATCATCCTCATCAGCATCATCCTCATCCTCATCATTCTCCTCCTCCTCCTCCATATCCTCCTCCTCCTCCTACTCTTCCTCATCATCCACCACCTCCTCCTCCTCAGCATCATCATCGTCATCATCATCATCATCATCATCATCATCATCATCATCATCATCATCATCATAATCAGCATCATCCCTCTCCCTGCACATGTCCCATCTCCCCCAAACAACCCCCAGTGTTCCGTACTGATGTGTGTGGGGGGGGCTTCGGGGAGCATCCAAGGATGCTCGAGCTGGACACCGCAGGGGGAGTAGAGGGAGTGTGAGCTCGACCCCCAGGGGAGTCGAGCGCAATTGAGCTCGACCCCCAGGGGAGTCGAGCGCATTTGAGCTCGACCCCCAGGGGAGTCGAGCGCATCTGATCAGGTGAGCTCGACCCCCAGGGGAGTCGAGCACAATTGAGCTCGACCCCCAGGGGAGTCGAGCGCAATTGAGCTCGACCCCCAGGAGAGGTGAGCGCATCTGCTCAGATGCGCTCGACGCCCCTGGGGGTCGAGCACAATTGAGCTCGACTCCCCTGGGGGTCGAGCTCAATTGCGCTCGCCTCCCCTGGGGGTCGAGCTCACCTGATCAGATGCGCTCGACTCCCCTGGGGGTCGAGCTCAAATGCGCTCGACTCCCCTGGGGGTCGAGCTCAAATGCGCTCGACCCCCCTGGGGGTCGAGCTCACACCTTCCTAGATGCTCTCAGGGTTGAGTTCGGGGACCCCCATGATGGCTCCCGTATGTTTTTCGAGACCCGCATGCGCCAACGAGGACCTCCAAGGGATCCCAAGATCGCATCATCTCCGATCCTTTCATTGCTTCCCCGCGACCCCCCTTCCGCCTCGTCATGCCCCCTCATCGGCACGGTTGGGGTCTCGGGTCTGCCTCAGGCGGGACCCCCCCCACGCCTCCTTGGCGCCACGGCTGGACTCGACCCGAGCAGCAGACACATGCCGTACACACATTTTCGCCTAGACCGCTAGAGTGAGGTGCGTATAGGTTCTAGCGCCAGTGCGCGGATGTCTTGCCAAGCTTGAGCACATCATATCTAGGTGAGGCCGAGCGGAGCGCTAAGGAGTATGCGTGCATACCCCTTCCCACATGCGCGTGCAGCGGCACGTGCTACTATATCGAACAACAAAATTGCACACTGGCGCAGCCGAGGGGCGATATGTACACATGAGTCCGCACGTGCGTTCACTAGAGGTCCTGCACATTGTGGCTGTTGTAGTGAGCTTGGAGCACTGGCGCGACCTTGTCTGCCTTCTCCTGCATCTGCTCGTTGGTCGGGGCCCTGATGCACTGGGTTTTCGTCCTGGGGGTCCCACTCAGCGGATCGATCCAGGTGGTCTTGAGGGAACACCTGTACGGCAAGTAGGTGACGTTTTTCTCTCGAATCACTGGAACGAACCCTGGGTCGCGAACAGTTTCATGGCTCGGGGTCTTCCTCAGCACCTGGATGTGTTCGGCCTTCAGTTCGACCGATAGTTTCGAGCGTAGGTAGGCGGAGGTCTGCACAGTCATGCAGTGGTCCTGGCCCAGGGCGTCCTGGACCTTGATAGAGCAGAACCCTGAAAGAAGGAAACGCCGATGAAATCGCAGGCGCTGAAGGGGGTGCTGATTGGGCTGGGAGGTGTGGCCCACGTTCAGACCAGGGCGCCTGCGATTCCATCGATCCTTTCCTTCTTGGCCCTCTTCGCACATTGGGAATCGGGAGCATGATCTGCCAGGTGGTCGCCCTCGCGAGCGGCCTTTGCTTCGGCCTCATCCATCATTTGTTCTGTGGTCTCCAGGCGGCGTCTCTGGCAGAGCTCAAGCATCTCGAAATTGTTGTCCAGCAGCCTCTTGAAGGCTGCGTTCGAACGGTCGCAGGAAATCCATTTCTTACCATCAGCCTCGTGCACGCGCGTAACCCACGAGTTGGCGGGCTGGGGGTCCTCGGCATCTCCGATGAGCACATAGCCCTCCTGAACGGTCAAGGGCATGATGAGTAGCACTGGGAGGTTAGATACAAATACACGCCAAAACTCGCCAAGCGGCTTGAGCCTAAATGTCTATGCGATGGTGGAGGCTTTGTTATGCTATGCTATGCTATGGCATGCGCCGTTGTTCTGTTTACGTTGATTTCCGACGTGACCTGCGATGCGCTATGCTATGCAATGCTATGGCGTTCGCCACCATGCTATGCTAAGCTATGCAATTGCGCACTGTCTGGTTCGTGTTGTGGCGTATTGTTTGTTGATTCGGACCTCGCTTTTGTTTTGCAAATGTTATGCAATGCTGCGCTATGCCATGCCGTATTGTCTGGCTGTGACCTTCTGCGTTGGTCCTTGTGCGCCCTCCATCCGACCTCCAGCCTCCTCTGGCCCCCCCGCCCCGAACTCCAAAGTTAGCCGGAACTCAATGAAAAAAGCCATCTTTCGGGAGGGGTCGGGAGGGCCATGCCGCAGCTGGATTTGCCTCGACATCTGCGCCATCACGCGCCCTGCACAAGGTGGGCCGACGGCTTCGCCCCCCTCCCACTGGACGTCGCGGCCCTGACTGGAGGAGGAGGGGGATGAGGAGGAGGAGAAGGAGGAGGAGGAGGAGATGAACGGCGAGGATTTCTGCGAGAGCTAGTGCGCTGGCAGCACGGGCGCCCTCCGCCCAGCAACAACGTTGGCTGCCAGCGCCTTCGCCGCGGGCGCCAAGGGCAGAGCGAGATGCCTCGCGCCTGCAGCGGAAAGCAGCGAGCCCCGCAGAGAGGGCGTCGCTGCTGGAGCCCGCGTGGGGATGGGAATGCCATGCCGAGTTAATGCGCTTGCGCTGATCATCATCATCATCATCATCACCATCATCATCATCAACAGCATAATCATCATCATAATCATCATCATCATCATCATCATCATCATCATCATCATCATCATCATCGTCATTGTCATCGTCATCGTCATCGTTATCGTCATCATCGTCCATTCCCATCCTCTCTCGGGCGACTCGACAACGTCGAGCACCTACTCGCGCGGCCTCTTGTTGGCGCCGCTCAGGGGCACATCGGGCGAGCAGTGAGACGGACGTGCGAGCACCGTGCCCTTCTTCAGCTTCGTCGTGTTGTGCAGCACGGGGATCAGCACGTTGCGACTGCAACCGCCCATGCCACGGGCGTTGGGAGTGCACGCGAGGTCGAGCTTCAGCTTGCCGACAGCGAGCGGCGCACTGTCATCATCCTCGGCCTCAGGGATGCACCAGTACGGCACCACGAACGCCTTCTTGTCGCCCACGGGGAGCTGGCAGCACTTGGTGAGGTACACGGCCGTGCCCGACGGGGCCCCGACACCATCCACGATGACGGCGCCCTCGGGGACCTTGTCTGTGGAGCATGCCCCGACATTGATGCTCAAGGGCACGATGATCAACTGGCCAGGCTCATATGGTCTGTTGCACGCCACCTCCTGGACCTCGGTCTTGCCCGTCGGCGACGTGGCGTACTTGATGGTGAGGTCCACGGCAGGGCTCGTGATGCGGTACGCGGTCATCACCGTGTCCCGCACCGATGCTTTGCACCCCTCGGTCAGGACATCTTGGTGGTCCTGCGGCGGGGTTCCAAAGAAGCTACGAGGGAGGTAGACGAGGGGGTCGGGCAAGCTAGGTGCGCTCGCGTCATATCTGACGTCCTACCCCTCCCTCCCACCCCTTACCATGGCGCTGATTTTCTCTATCCGCGGACGCGTGTCGTAGCGGACTTGTGGCTCCGCGCGCGCGTGCGTAGTGGGTGGTGGTGCGCGTGCGTGCGTGCGTGCGTGCGTGCGTGCGTGCGTGTGTGGTTGTGGTTGTGGTGGCGGTGGTGGCGGTGGTGGTGGAGAGGGAAGAGGGGGCAGGGAGGGTGGGAGGAGGGAGGGTGGAAAGGGGGGAGGGAAGAGGGAAGAGGGAGAGGGAAGAGGGAGGAGGGAGGGTGGGAGGGAGGGAGGGAGGGGCTCAGGGCCCGAAGCTCCAGGGCGGAGGCCTCGTCAGGGCCGACCGTCACGGAGAGGTGCGTCCAGCGCTTCATGACCTCTGCGGGGAGGGCAGCCCCCCGCCTCTCCTCCTCCTCCTCCTCCTCCTCCTCCTCCTCCTCCTCCTCCTCCCCCTCCTCCTCCTCCTCCTCCTCCTCCTCCTCAGATTCCCCCTCCTCGCCTTCCGCATCATCCTCCGCATCCTCATCAGCGTCGTCGTCCTCGTCTTCCTCATCATCATCAGCATCATCATCCTCAACATCACCAGCAGCAGCAACATCAGCATCACCAGCGCCATCGTAGTCACCATCGCCATCCGCAGCATCAGCATTACCACCGCCACAGCCATCATCACCACCATACCAGCATCACATCACCATCGTGATCATCATCTCTACGTCGTCGTCGTCGTCGTCGTCGTCGTCGTCGTCGTCGTCGTCATCAGCAGCAGCATCATCATCGTCGCCATCGTCATCGTAATCGTCGTCATATCATCCAACCCCATCCTCATCCTCCCCCTGCCCTCTTCCTCGCTCGTATCAGTATCCTTATCCTCCTCATCCCCCTCCTCCTCCTCCTCATCATCTTCCTCCTCCTCCTCCTCCTCCTCCTCCTCCTCCTCCTCCTCCTCCTCCTCCTCCTCCCCCATCCCCCTCAGTATCTTCATGCATCCCCTCATGCTTCTCAAGGTAGCCCGAGGTACCTGGTACTCGTCCAGCAGTTGGCCCGTCGGCACCTTGAGCTGGTCGGCCTTCTTGCTCGTCGCCCGCTTCTTGGCGTCATCATCCCCAGGTTCTGGCTCGAGGATGGCGCGGGAGCCCTCGAACCTCACGATGGTCCACGGGCCGCCGAAGAACGGCGGCACCTTGCGCTCGACCACGGCCTTGGCCACGAGCCCGTGCTGGACGAGTGTCTGCTGGGAGACGTCGCCGTCGCGAGTGAAGACTTTGAATCCCACTGGCCCCGACGCCGACGACGCTTGCCCCTTCTGCTGCATATCTGGCTCGACGTCGAACGGGACCTCCTTCTGGTCGCTCCCAGGGAAGCGCAGGTAGACGTCGCCGAGGAATTCGCACACGATCTGGTTGAGATCATCGTAGGTCTTCCTGCCTTTACCCTTTTTCCCCAATAGCATCATCATGCCGCGGACCTGGAGGTCGCCAATGAGCCTGTTCTTGTCCGTGGCATTCGGGCTCGGCGTCAAATCGTTGAGGCCATCAAGAAACTGCTTCGCCTTCCTGACGATCTCAGAAAACTCCAAGCACTTGTTCTTGTTCTTGCCGACCAGGTTCTGGACGTCCCAGCTGGTCAGTAGGGTGGACACGCCGTTCTTCACATAGTTCTCAGGGCTGCACACTGCGCTCTTCACCATCGCGATGATGACGTCGGGTGCGCTCGCGAACTCCACGGTACCCAAGATCTTGAACACCGAGCTCGGGACATCAACTTTGGTCCTCATCAGCTTCGACCAGATGTCCAACTCATTGAGCAGCGGCGCCTGCTCATGCCCCCCAGACCAGTTCTCGACGAACTTGGTGAGGTCCTTGATCTGCCCCTTCAGGTGTGGCTTTCCCGACTCGATGTTCGCGACCACTCCAGGCCAGTCGAACTCGCCCTTCTTCTTGAGGTTCCGACCACCCTTCGCGTGAATCTCCATCAGGAGCTGCATCTTCGTCAAGGTCCGCTCCGTCTGGTGCCCTGAGTTGCCTGCATCTTGCAGGAACTCGGGGAGGCCAGGGCACCCGTGGAGGATCTCATTCCGAATCATCACCCACTCGATGCCCTCGTCGAGGAATTCCTTGATCGAGGGGTTGATGGCGATCACCTTCTCGCGCGCCAGCTTGCCGTCCCTGCACAGGTGCTCCAGGTCGGCGATGTCGCAGAGCGCCTCGGCGTTGACAGCGTTCAAGCCGAAGTTGGTGTGAGTGCACGTGACCGACACCGCGCGTATGTCTTCGCGAGACACAGGCGCCAGCATGCCGTCTGAATTCGACGCCATATCCACGTTGAATTTGATCTCATCCGAGTCGTGTGGGCCCAGCTGGAAGCAAGTGGGGCTGTCCAGCCTGCTCTTGACGAAGCCCTGCTCGATAATCCTGGCCAGCAACAGGTGCACATCGACGGGGTCGACGCCGTTGCCGTACCTGTTCCGACTCGACGCCGCCACATGTTTGGGTTTCATCCTCTCTTTGGTGGCGAGCCCGTGTTGGAGCAAGTAGTTGACCAGCTCCTCGCTCTTGGCTTTCTTCTGCTGGCACTCAGCCTGCGCGGCGAAGCTCGCGAGCCGACCGTTGATCCACGGGATGGCAGTCTCCAAGGCCGCCTTGAACCCGCCCGACGCCATATATTCCGCACGTGAGATAATCGAGATACCTCGAAGCTTGAGCACTAAATGGCTACGGAAGGAGGTTCCAGGGGCCTTCTTAGGGGGGTGCATCGGGAGGCCCCTTCACCATCCAGCACAGAGCCCCCCACGAGCGATGATATCGCTGCGAGCCCTCATGGGGCCCTCTCGGGGGGGGGGCTTTGGATACTACTCAAGACGCCATGAGGGCCAACGAGTAACCCCGAGGGTGATCCACAAAGGCCCGCAGCCCAACTGGGTCCCATAGTGCCCAAAGAGGCCCCTCCTCTTCCTCCTCTTGTTTCTCCTCCTCCTCGTCCTCCACCTCCTCATCCTCATGTTGGTCCTCCCCTTTTCCCCCTCCTCCTCCTGCTACTCCTCAACCGAAAATCGCAAGTCCGCACGCCGACTTGTGACTATCGTGGGGCCAGATCGGGGCCATGGCATCCCCCTTCTCATGATCCCCCCCCGCCCTCATCATGTCCCGCCTCGTCTTAGTGCGATGCCGAACCCCAACATCGCGATCACCGAAACCGCGTTTACGAAGAAGCTAAAGTGTTTAGCTAAACTGAGTTTCCGAGTTTAGCTAATCGAGGTTTCACAACCGCTAAACAGGTTAGCTGAATATCGTAACCACCTTAGATATCCTCCGTATTCAAGTTAGCAAGATAGCCTAAGCACTTTAGTAAATGCTTATATGTGTGCTATGTGGTAACTAAAAGAGCTAAATGGTTGCACCTTGCGTCGTCGAGGATACGATGATATAACCGAGGATATGCAGTTATAATTTGCTTATAAGTTGCTTATAATATGCTTATATACATGATATATATGCTTATATCATGCCTAAATGGTTAGGAACCGCCGCGGCGATTCAAGTCGGAACTCGATTTTCCGGCGCCGGCCGGAACCGGCTCCGGACCCGGCCCGAGCGCTGGCCCGGGCGCCGGCTCGGGCGTGCAGCCCAGGTGCTGGCGGAAATGATGCCAACGCTGCAGCGGGAGCACGATTCGGAACGAGCGGGGCCCGAAAATGAGGCCGGCGCCTCAGCGAGAGCAGCATTTTGGGAAAAAATTGCAGGCGAAAACCCAACTCCAGGGGTGTGAAACAATGGGGGGGGGGGGGGGGGCGAATTTCCCAAGACGTCATCAGGGAAAGAGGGAGAGTAGTTCTCATATTGAGTAATTGTGGAGGAGGAGGAAGGAGGAGAAGGACGAGGAGGAGGAGGAAGAGGAGGGGGAGGGAGGAGGGTGAGGGTGAGGGGGAGGAGGGAGGAGGTGAAGAATGAGGCGGAGGAGGAGGGGGGGGCGCGAAGGACGAGGGGGAGGAGGAGGAGGTGGAGGAGGAGGTGGAGGAGGAGCACGGGAAGGATGAGGGGGAGGAGGGAGGGTGTGGAGGATGAGGTTTCACATGATCTGGAAATTGGGAAATTTGGAGGGGCTTCGGCGTCGGCCATGCACAGCAGCAGCCTGGCCGCCGCGAGCCCCGCCACAGTGCCGGAGCAGGAGCGCAGCGGGAAGCGGGGTAAGATTGAGGCCTGCTCCTCTTTAGTGCCCCATCTGGGGTGGCGCGGGTCTTGAACGCCCAATGCTTGTCTGCAGCATCGCTCTTTCCTCTTCAGACTCTTCATGTCTCATTCCTCCCTGTCCTCACTCTCCCTGTCAGGCGATCGCAACCATGGATCAAGGGGGCGTGGATTAGCGACGGGTCTCGTTTCCATGGGGAATCGCGGATTTCCGCCGCCGAGCGAAGCGACACCGGCCGCATTTTGGGGAGGGCACCTCCACCAACACATGGATTTGGCGACCGCGCGCCAAATCCATGGATCGCTAATCCATGTCTGCGCGCCCCCCAACTTTAGCGCCCCATCTGGGGTGGCGCGGGTCTTGAACGCCCAATGCTTGTCTGCAGCAACGTTCTCCTCTCCACTTCTCATTCCTCTTCTGACTCCCCCTCCCTGTCGTCAATCCTCCCTCCTGCAGGCACCATGAAGGTTTCTCCAGGGCCTCTTCGTGGCCCTCTGGGATTTTTTGCCAGCCTTTCGTGGTGCTCGGGCCGTCTTGGACCCCATGGTTCTACCGAGCCCTCCAGACAGGCTCAATTGTACCATCTTGGGGCCGTCTTAGCGAGTCATGGGCCGTCTTAGCGCCCTCCCGGGCTAAGGTTGGGCTGTCGTTGGGGAGTTCTTCGGCCGTTTGGTGGCTGTCTTGAGGCCGATTGTGGGAATGTCGGCAGCTTCTTCTGGGCCCCCCTGCTGAACCAAGCGCACCGGAAGGTTTTGCCGAGTTCTGGGCTTCCTGAGAAAACCGTCAACAAGAGCAGCAACAACATGTTAGGACGAAAAGCTTTCTCCAGGAACAGGTCAAGACCTCAGAGGAATCACGTTTTTAATCAAAACATCGTTGTCGGCCCGCGATCTTGTGCCAAACAGATGCAGGAACATCAAAGCATTTGCTCCTCTGGTTGTTCAATGAATTTCGCCTCTTTGGGCCTCGCTGGGGGTATCGTTAGGCGTTTTTTTGAGACGTTTTGGGGCGTCTTGGCCAATGTGGGAGCATTCGGAGGTTCGCCAGGCCTTTTTTTGTGTTTTGTTTTTTGTTCAACAATTGTCTTGAGGGATCTTGCAGCCGTTTCACAAGAGTGTTGGATCGTCTTGGAGCTGTCTGGAGGTCGGAAGCGGTGCCTGAGAGCAAAACCTGGGTAAGGGGCTCGAATGGTGCATGCAACGCAACGCTGTGGAGGGGAGGGGGCCTTGGAAGCACAGCAGAGACATGCTCCAGTCAGGGCGCTGAAGGAAGGATCGCTTTGGGCTCAGGAGGGTCTCCCGTTTCCGGGCTGCTCCTTGGGTCTAGTCCGAGGGGGAACCTATTCGTGGCCGAGGCTCGCCGTGGCCAGAAAAGCACGCCCGCTTCTTGCTCGGTGCGCCACGTGGTAGCAAACCTGCGGAATATAGCAGACATGGTATTTTGGCACACCCCAGCGCGACGCTGGCACGGTGGCGGATGTACCGGTCCTTGCCGGGCCCATCCTGGGCCCTGGGGTGCGCCCCCCCGGCTTCGCCGCGAATGATGTGCCAATTGTCCACCACCATTGCCATATGTAGGACGGGGGAGAAGGGAGGATGAGGAGGTCCTCCTGCTCCTCCTCCTCCTCCTCCTCCTTTCCTTCCTCCTCCTCCTCCTCCTCCTCCTCCTCCTCCTCCTCCTCGCTCTCCTACCAATGGTAGTGGTGGTGGAAAATCGGCCGATCATCGCCGCGAAGGCGTCATGCGAGTCCATGTGAGCTCAGGCTGGTTGGGCCAAGAATCGGTGACTGCTGGCAGGTGGCCCCCCATGCCGTTCTCATCATGCTGCTCCAGTTCCTCCCTCTCTTCCCCCTCCCTCCCCGATGTCTCGCGATGCCGAATGTTCTGGCTTAGAGTTCTTTAGCCAGTAGACGAGGCTGGATCTTGAACTCTCCTACGCAGGTCTCCTCCCTCTCCTCCCTCTCCTCCTCCCTCTCCTTCATCGTCTGCTGCCGCGAGGCGGAGGATGCGGTCCAGAAGCGGCTGGTCAACTTTGGGGACTGGGCTGCCCGAGCCGCCAGCAGCGCAGCCTGAGCGGCCCTCGCGCGAGCAGGAGGAGGAGCAGGAGGAGGAGGAGGAGGAGGAGGAGGAGAAAAAGGAGGACAGGACGACAACGAAGGTAAGGGAAAATGATGCTGATGATGATTATTTTGATGATGATGATGCTGATGCTGATGCTGCTGCTGATGATGATGATGATGATGATGATGATGATGATGATGATGATCATGATCATGATCATGATCATGATCATGATCATGATGATCATGATGATCATGATGATCATGATGATCATGATGATGATGATGCTGCTGCTGCTGATGATGGAGCACAACTGTGTGGGGTTTGCTTGCCCGGACGGGGGCATCGTTTGTGATTGCGTTCGTTGCAAAGCGTTTTCCACAGGCAAGTATGTTCGTTACCTGGCCAAAGGAGGCCCAGGCAGGCCTCATAATGTCAGGAGCTCCAAATATTACTGGGAGTCTAGGGTGAGAGAAGGGTGACCCCCGCGGGCGCCTTGGCCGCTAGGGCCACGACTGGGGCCGTCTTGGGGGTCGCCCGAGATCCTGCCTCACGAGCCTGCGCACGAACGATCTCCGCAGGCTTGGCTGGCGGGGCGGGGCGGCGGCGTGGGCGGGCTCTAGCGGGGCGGCCTTGCCTTCGCCTGCAACGGCCGGCGCTCCTGCCGTCTGGGAGGCATCTGCAGCTCCCGCGCCAGCTTCAGGTTCGCGGTCCGCTTCCGTCTTCCACTTCTTCTCCAGACGCTGCATCCGCTCCTGATGGCCCTTCTTGAGCTCGACGCTCTGGGCCTGGACAGCTCCGAACAGGTTGGTGGTGAGGCTGGTGGTCTGCTCCGACAGTTGCTGCTTCCTCGCCTGCGCCTCCTTGTGGCCAGCCTCGGACAACTCCTGAAGCTCCCCGAGGCCGCACATGTCACCATCGTCGAGGACGCTTTAGGACAATGTACCTTCAAACGCGTCCTGAAGTCGCAGCGCAGGTGCCTCCACCGCAGCAGCAGACCGTTGGCCGACAGCTTGAGGCGACAGTGAGAGGCGCAGCTCAGAGATGGCCGTCATATTTTTCTCATCATAGCGCTCGAGCTCCCGCAATGTGCTCTCGAGGTCGGAACGCTGCTGGGCCAGCTTCCTCTCGAGGTTGTGTACCTGGTCCATGTCGCGGTCCAGCTTCTTCTCCAGCCGCTGGACCTCCTTGAACGCCGCATCCGCCTTCTGCTGCGGGGGCATGGACGCGCGTTCCATCTGGGCAACCTTCTCTGGGGCCGCGGCGAGAGAAGCGTCGCCGACCTTGGCGCTGAGCTCGGCCAGCTGCTGGAGCTCACTCTTTGTGGCCGAACTGGCGACGGTGGGGTCGGTTGACGGGGCCTTCCCAGAAGCTGCTTCTGCTGCGGCGCGGCGAGCTTCAGGAGCCGCAGCGC